TGTATAATCTATATAATGAAATATGAATTGATATATATAATAAAGATTGCATTTATTAGAAGTTAGTTAATACTGTTTTGAATTTTCTTTCATATTAAACAAAAGGTGCTCTCAAGCATCTCTTTCAGTATAATTAGTTAGCTATAGAGATTATGCACAAGTACTATAATTAATTAAAGTAAAGATTTTAGCCAATCAGCACAACTCTAAAATAAAAAAAGATGGTTTCTAATCATCCTTTTTTTCATCATGATAATTAATTCGCTTGACAAAATAATTTACCTTCTACTAATTAAAAATTGAACTCAGATCTATTAATTTAGATGCTTGAGAGCACCCAAAATAACTGAGGGCTTCTTCATATTTTCTGTTTTTACAGTACATTTAAACATTCATAACAAGCCTTTTTTCAATGGAAATTCTAATTTTTTAAATATTTGACACAATTTGCAAATAAAAAATCTAGTGAAAATATTTGTCGATTTTTATTAAATTTTTTTTTTTTTTTGTACAAGAAAAATTATAAGTACTGTCAACATTATAAAATTTGATTGCTATACACAAAATCTAATTATTGGAATTAAAATTGAGTTTTAAAGCAGGAACTAATTTTGGTTGATGCTTGATTTGTGTCAACTGCCCATGATATATCTACATGTTACTCTGATTATATGGGCTAGGTGCTGAGAAAAAAGATGACATTAACAAAAAAAAGATCCTCGAAAAATCAATTTTTATATTATAAATTTATAAATCATAAAAAATACAAAATTTTATTAATACAACTACTTTTGTGTTTTAAATAAAAAATGAATCTAATCTTATTCTAAATTGATTTATGTAAAAAAATTTCTTTTGGGAAAATCAATTTCGTCTATTTTTTCAGCATCTAGCACAAATATTAAAAAATTCAACTCATAAGAATATATACTAACATGTAAATGTATGGTTTCAAGAAATTCAGTGCTTATAAAAAATTGTGCTTGTATAGAGGTCAAATCTCTTATGTTTTATATACATTTGTTCTAAAAATTGGTGTGCTTATAAAGAGGGTGTGACTATATGGAGAGTGACTGTATAGATGACAGACTATATATTTGAAAATTCAACTCATATAATATACAGTATGTTAACATGTAAATGGTTTGCCCTCCAAATATTTTTCACAAATTTGTTTTCAACAAATATGCTTTGAAACTATCATTTAGCAAAGATAAAAATAGCAAAAACTTGTTAAGTAGTCAAATAATTATTTAGTCAATTTTTTATCAGATGTTTTAAAATTTATAATATAGCCTGCCCTCTATACAGTTACTCTTCATATAGTCACACCCTCTTTATAAGCACACCAATTTTTAGAACAAATATATATAAAACATAAGAGATTTGACCTCTATATAGGCACAATTTTTTATAAGCACTGAATTTTTTAAACTGAGAGTGTGACTGTAGAGAGGTTAGACTGTAGCTGTAAAGATTCTTATTTTTAATAAGATTTTTCTTTTTTACCTGATGTTTTTGCTCTTTGTTTAATTTTTTCTAAAAATATTCTTATTTTTCTGTCTCTATAATACAATTTAAAAAAAAATTAAATAAAATAATAATAATTAATTAATTAAAAAACTGAAAACTTTAAATTTATCTTGTATATCTAGATGGTCAGACTAGAAGAGGTTAAATAAAAAATCTGAATCTGAAAGGACCAATTATTACAGATTTTTTGCTTTATAACTAATTTACTAATAAGAAATATAAAAGAAAACTAATATCACTAGAAAAGCATTATTATTACAAATTGAATATAATAAATATTTAGCATGAAATATAAATAGATACAACAATATGTAATCAACTGAAATAACTACTTATAATTACTTAACAAGAATTAACTCAATAATAGTAGAAACAGAAAATTACTTAATATAAAAATATTATCCATAGTATACAATTAACAAATTACAATAATATATATCAGAACTAAAAAAACTATTTGGAGTAATATTCTATTTAATAAAAAATTACAATTATTTATTAATACTATAACAACTAATAAAAATAAAATAATGAAATAATACAATATACAAAGAAACTAAAACTAGAACTATTAAAAAAAATGAAATATTAAAATTGATAGAATGAAATTTTAACAATATATTAAAAATGAATATGTATCAAGCAAACTATAGAAAATTCAAACAGAAAAGAAATAACCTAACTAAAAAAACTAGTAACTAAGATAAATACAAAACACAAAAAAATAGAAAAATGAAAATACTTAATAATATTTAAAAAAAACAACAACTCACTGTATTCCAACAGCTAGAACCAATACCAATATTACAATGATTATAAACTATCCTACTAGTATATAATCTAGTAAAGAACTATTATTCAACTACAAAATTGTATAATAGAAAAACATTGATAAGCAACAACTCAGAGCAATCAAAATCTGATCACAATTTACAACTCAATATTTACTGTACTACAATTGAAGACTTAGTACAAGTGTAGTACAAGTGTAGTATAAAAATAAATCTGCTTATCTAAAAGCTATATATGTATACACATATATATGTTTATATACTAGACACAGAGCTGATACTATACTGACACAATTGTGAATTAATTATTACCACTATAAGTACAGTAGCAGTATAAAATTTAACATTTTTTTGTAGTTTTTTTCATCAATCAAAATGAAAAATAAAGACATAATAGAAGAACTATTAGTAAAAAATACTATATAAATATTGCTAATTTCAATTAGCCAAATTTTATTAACTGTCAAAACATGGTGAATATGAATAATTTAGACGAAATATACTAGCTTAGTTATTATTATGAATATAGAATTGGAGTTGAAAAAAGATGAAAACAATGCATTCATTTATCATCAAAAATATGCTGATAAGAATAATTTTAACAGAATGTATCAGATTGGATATTGTTATAATTTAGGAATAGGAGTTAAAAAAGATAAATACAAAGTATTCGAGCATTACCAAAAGTCTGCTGAAATAAATAATCTTAACAGAATCTATAAACTGCTATTTGTAGTAAATATCGAAATTGGATTAAAAGGTAAGCTAAGTTTTTAACTTAATTGAAAAATTATGAATATTATACAATTTAATTATCAGAGTAAGTATAAAAAATCTATTAATATACATCTTATCTAATTAAGTTCATAAATATTAATTATTTGCATTGATTAGCACATGAGTATAAAGAAAATCTAATTAATTATTGGAATTAAAAACCAGTTCACAAGTTAAGAACAAAATACTTATTTGCTATTATATAATAATTTTATTTACATTAAGCATTTCATTCAGTGAGTGAGTATAAAGTATATTTATTAATCATTTAAATTAAAACCAAGTTCACAAATCAAGAACATAATACTTATTTACCATTATATAATACTTTTTGAATCATTTCATTTGCATTAAGCATTTCATTCAGTGAGTGAGTATAAAGAGCATACCAGGAATGAATATATATGAATGTATGGTTTATATGGCAATTTAAGCGATATCTGTTCACAAAATCTTGAATTTGATTGTTTTGCATAACTTATTTACATGCTCATTATATCTATATTGCAACACATGCTTTACCAGAAATATAGTGAAATGGAGTGTTAAGTTTTGCGCTTGTTCACAAAATCTTGATTCTAATTAAATATAATAATCGAACTTGTTAACCCTATATAAATTTTATATCAATATATCTCCAATCTTTGCTATTTTTTTATAGTTTGGTCACTACATTTCCATTTAGATAAAATGATAGATTGCTATAATGATAATACATACTATATTACAGTACTGTACATATTATAACTTGATATTTTGATAATAAAAATTATAGCCATTATCCACAGCTTTAGAAGAGTACTAGTATTAACTGTGCAAAATAATCTTAAAAACAATTAAATCCAATAACTTAGAAGCTCAAATATATTGTTGCCCATTGAATGATGCAGAATTGTGCAGTAGATTAAAGGTAATTAGAAATACTTTTATAAGATAACTTTATTCATATTGTATATTAAATAAACTTTTACATATTGTTAACTGTTTAATTTCAGATAAGTATAAACTCTTTAAGAGTAGAAATTAAGGTTTATTACTTAAATTTATTTGACTTGTAGTGTGTTTTGAATCTTCAATCATAAATTAAAGTAGTGATTAAACTCAGGTGGGTGTGATGTTACAACTAGGAGAGAGACTTTATATCTACTGAGGCAATTTAGCTTTGGGTCATAAGCATTAAAAGAAATAATCTATATATTTGTTAATACATACAAGGCACCAAAAAGTACTATTAATCCAAGCGTATATGTAAGTATCTTACACTATTTGACAGTGAATTTGCACAAAATAACAATCTATTTAGTACAGATGAATATTCAATTTCATATAAAAAAATAATGATACCTTGTAATCTAATTTGAATAATTTTATACTATTGAATCCTCTCAATAAGATGATTCAAATGGTATCAAGATGATTCAAATTAGATTACAAGTTATCATTATTTTCTTGTATGAAATTGAATATTCATCTGTACTAAATTGGTAGATCTTTTGTGCAAATTCGCTGTCAAATGGTGTATATAATTTTATGACGTTACTATAGTTCTATTGACCATTCTACTATGATTGTTCTTGCTGGACTGTGGTCTGAAGATTGTAAGGAAGAACGCAGTCTTGTAATTAATCCTTCGTCTATCCCCGCTCATTCTTCTGGCTCAAATTCAAGTTTTATGTCATTAAATGCGCCATTGGGCACACGGAATCTTATGGGTCACTGTACTTCGTCCGCATATGTGCTAAATGACCATATGAATCAATTAGGAATTTTTTTTATATTTCAAGACTTGTCAGTTAGAACAGAAGGTACCTTTACCCTGAAATTTTCGTTCTGTGACGTCAGAGAATTGCTAATTCAGTAAGTTGTTGGCAATAATATAAAATGCAGCATTTAGCGTTTATGTCACATTTAATATTAAGTATTTATTTGGGTTTACTTTTTTTTCTTGGTTTAAAATTTATTGTTTTTAATTTATTTAAGATCACAGAACGGATTTACGAACTCTCGTGGAAACGTAGTTGCTGAAGTATTTAGCACTACTTTTAGAGCGTATTCCGCAAAAAAGTTTCCTGGTATGACAGGTACTGTACGAAAAGAGCAACAATGGTTATATCGATATATTATTTCCGAATCATCGTTACAGGTTTTAAACCAGTAAATTTCCGACAAACAATCAAACTTTAATTTTATGCAGAATCGACTGCGCTTTCTAAAGCTTTCGCTAAACAGGGAATTAAAATCCCAATTCGTAAGGAACTTCGTTATCGGAGAGTCAGTGACGATTTACCTGACCAAACAAACGAAATCACTATTCCTTCAACATCATATGCCGCTTCTAATAATGTACCTAATGACGTTGAATCTGATGTTCAGGAAGACCACTTCGTAGAAAAACAGGATCCTTCGGAAGATTACATTGACGTGCTTTCTGATACTGCGCAAGAGAATAAGGGAAATTTTACTGGAATATGGCAACGCATGCCTAAATAATCAACTAGTTTTTTACATTTTACTACGAACACTAAGTAAAACTTCATCTTTCTTGCAGTTGAAAATTTTCTGTCTTTTTTGATTATTTCATCTTATACATATCTCCTATAATATAGACCTCATTTCCAGTATTAAACCTTTTCTCTTTTTTTTTCAATTCGAACATTTTTTTTTATGAGAAACTATCTCAATTACGCAAACATATCCGCCGCGGTTTTGTGCATTAAAAGTTTCATCGTATCTTAGGCAAATTCAATCATACTAAAAATTTTAAAATACCCCTCAAGTATCGTAGATTAAATACGAAGACCGATTAGAAATTAAACCATCCGTTATTTGTCGTTCTGGAACTGTGTTATACAAATTATGTTCATATATAGTGGGTTCAAGTAAGTAAAAATACAACAAAGATCTTCAGATTTATGAAATTAAGAGTAATAAAAAAAAACATTAGGTTGTTTCTATTAAGCAAAAATGACAGTTTTATTTTATTTTTATTTATTTATTTTTTTTTTAAAAAATGACAAATTAAAACAAAATATAATTTTTTGCTAGGAAAATGTGTGATTCATTACAGAGCAACTGTAAAATACAGTGTTAAACAAAAGTTTGTCGCATCTATATCTGCTTACAAATAGGTGCTACAGCCTTGAAACTTTCCAAAAATTTAGTAAATAATTAGCCTAGGCTGTATAATTTTTTTGGTAATTTTTTAATTACTAGAAAAAATTTTTAGATGAGAGTTAAAGTTTTGAATCCTTTTTGGGTATTCTATAAAATAGGTGGGCAATATAAGAATAAGCTTCGCTAATGATTAGTAATCATTAATTTTTTAATAGCAGAGTTGCATAGTTTGTGAAGTTTGTTCATTTATTTTATAGAACATCCTAATTTTTTTATAAAAAATTAAAAAATTAATTGGGTTTAATTAAAAATTAATAAAAAATCACAATTATGTTTAAGAATTCTAAAAGTTTTGTATGTTAAATTTCAATGATTTTATATTAATACCAAATAATTTGGCTTAATTTGATAAAATAATTATTAAGAAATTAATTTTTAATGTTTAAATTTTGTTATTATTTTATTCTGTTTAAAAAATTTTAATATATTAATTTGCTATATAAATTATTTTAAACAGAATGATTAAAAATTAATTTCTTAATAACTATCTTATTAAATTAAGTTTTGTTATTAGTATAAAAATTATTAAATTTTAATATATTAAACTTTTAGAATTTTTAAACATAATTCTAATTTTTTATTAATTTTAATTAAATCTAATTAATTTTTAATTTTTTATAAAAAGAATTATTTAAAACTTTAGCTTTTATCAAATAAAATTACTAATAAAATACACAATTTAGACTAACTATTTACTAAATTTTTAGGAAGTTTAAGGCTATAACACCCTTTTGTAAACAGATATAAATGTGAAAAATTTTTGTTTAATATTATATCAAAGATTTTAATAAATTAAAAACAATTTTAGTAAAATTTTTTTATAGTCTAAATTTTAATTTGTTTAGGATTTTAATATTTTTATATTGATTTTTTTAAATTAAAAACTCTTTCTGTCAATCACTTACACAAAATTTAACTAAAAATTCGCCAGAATAAAATCCTTAATAACTCAATATTTTATTAAGATAACTGCTCTTAACATCTTAAACAAACTTGCTCTGCTCTTAATTTTACATATAATTTAAGAGTTTCAAGCTTCTATCTTGAAAACTCGTAGCATAACACTACAAAAACCTTTTTTGGTTTTAGAATCTAAACTTTTAACTATTTCTCTAAAACTGTCTTTACAACTTATCTGTTAGCACTAAGATAAG